TCTGCCGATGTGGATAGGCACCGTGGACATGACATAGCGGATAGGCACTGTGGACATGACATAGCGGATAGGCTCCGTGGACATGACATAGTGGATAGGCTCCGTGGACATGACATAGTGGATAGGCTCCGTGGACATGACATAGTGGATAGGCACTGTGGACATGAAGTAGTGGATAGGCACTGTGAACATGACATAGTGGAAATGCACTGTGGACATGAAATAGTGGATAGGCACTGTGGACATGAAATAGTGGATAGGCACTGTGGACATGCAATAGTGGATAGGCACCAAGGACATGAAATAGTGGATAGGCACCAAGGGCATGAAATAGTGGATAGGCACCGTGGACATGCAGTAGTGGATAGGCACTGTGGTCATGCAGTAGTGGATAGGCATTGTGGACATGACATAGTGGATAAGCACTGTGGACGTAACGTAGTGGATAGGCAATGTGGACATGAAATATTGGATAGGCACTGTAAACCTGAAGTAGTGGATAGACACCATGGACATGAAATAGAGTATAGGCACCGTGGACAAGCAATAGTGGATAGGCACCGTGGACATGACATAGTGGATAGGCACCGTGGACAAGCAATAGTGGATAGGCACCGTGGACAAGCAATAGTGGATAGGCACCGTGGACATGCAATCGTGGATAGGCACCGTGGACAAGCAATAGTGTGTAGGCGCTGTGGACATGAAATTGTGGACATGTGGTAGAGGACATACACTGAGGAATATGCACCGTGGACATGTCATTTGGAACAGGCACGGGGGGAGATGCTCTGTGGACGTGCAGTAGGTGACTGGTATTACAGAACAGACATGGGGTGCATGTGTTACATCAAGTTGGGGAACAACATGTGCTCACTGCAGAAGTACATTACACCCCACTCTTCATTCATTGGAGGACACCCTCTCCGTGTGGGCTCAGATTCCACGTTGTGCCCTTGTTAGGGTCTGATGTATCTGTAATGAAATCTGCCACAAGAGTCATTTGGAGGCCACTATTGCCAACATTCCTGCGACATGCCATTGTTCTGGCTGCTATTCTGCCTTTTAGATTGCAGAACTAAAATGGCTGATTTCCTCCTGTACAAGACTCGCCATTGACTGGAGAATGCCACAACCTTTGCCTGACCCAGACTGCTGTACAATGGTGGCCTGTCCACACGTGAATTCTTTTCTGTGCACTTTACAGAAACACAATGGGGTCTATTTGTGGCTGTGGGCCCCCGAGAATCTCTGTGAATGTTCATTCCGTGCGAATAGATGTACAAAAAAACAAACGTTCTTCTTATATTGTCTTTATAGGCTGAGTGTATTTTTGAATGTCATCTTGTCTTGGCCATTAGATGGAGTTCCCATTAGAGGACTGCGTACCCATATGGGAGATTCACATCTCTATCTGTTCTCGTTGTCACTGAAAGTGAAAGAAAATCCCACATTTTGGGTTTTCACCAGAACAGGAATAGATGGGAAATCTTCCAAAGGGGACACTAGTTCTAGTGACCCTGCTGACCACCAGCGATTTCCCTATCTTTGGAGGGATTTCCTCTCACTTCCTGGCTATGGGAGAGGAAGTGAAGGGGAATCTCCCCAATGGGACACTGACGGCCAAATAAAGTTGGCAGGGATTATAAATAGTGTTGCACCGAAAACGAAATTTCAACACCAAAATAAAAAAAATTTGTCAGGCCGAAATGTTTTTTATTTAAATTTTTTTTAATATTTAATTTTTTTCAATTTTTTATACACTTTGTACACAGAGTCCTCTTTTTCTGCATCCCCTGTTATCAATGAAAGGAATCCTCTATGAGTGTTCCTTCATAACATGAGGACAGAGTGTGTTTACTATAACCACGATCATGAATGAACAGGAGGGGATGTAGATCACTTCCCATTCATTCATAATTGAGGATATAGTAGCCATACTCTGTCCTCAATTATGTACAAACACTCAGCGATCCCTGACTACTTGTACCCACTCTCCATCCTGACAGATGTCACAGGAGGCGGGGCGGTGCGGGAGAAGAGCTCAGCCTCCTGTGTCTCTGCCCCCACACCGCTCTGCCAGACTGTGATAGGAGGCTGAGCGGTGTGGGAGGAGAGACGCCGGCCACTCACAGCGCTCTCCTCACGCAGCGTTTGGCCGGCTGTCATACTTTCTCTCCTACCCGCTGGGACACAGAGCATGCCCAGCGGGGAGGAAACAAAGCAGGTATGCGCCTATGTATCGGCAAGAAAATGGCACTTTCGGCATTTCACCCAAAGTGCAATTTTCGGCCCATATATTGGTGCATCCCTACTTATAACCCTCCCGTACTCTATCCAAAGCTAAAAAAACGTTGTGGCTTCAGTTCTACTTTATGTGCTCAAGATGAAGATGGAAGCTGATTGCTGTCTGCAAGAAAACTCCAGTTCAGCAGGGAAGGCATTGTGGGTCATATGGCAACAATGTACAGTGGTACCTCGGTTCACAAACATAATTCGTTCCCCTGATTGTGGTCGCGAACCGAATCAAACTGATCAGACCGTAATCTCGATTAGAGCAAAATAAATACTTTTCCTTGTTGCACTCCTTACCGAAAAATCCCCTGTAGTGGGGGGGTGCTCGCAGTGACTGCGGATGGCGCAGCAAATATCAGCAATTGTGTAGAAATGTCACCAGCACACCAAAATCCTTCTTAGGATAAGGAAATGTTCATTTATTGTAGTTCCTTGTCATATAAACAAGCGCTTTCGGGGCCACACAGGGTCCCTTCATCAGGCTTAGCTTTGACGATGGTGACGAACACAATGACGGAGCCACGACCATGTGTCAGAGCAGGGAAAGATGGCCGCGGTTGTGTTCGTCACCCGATGCGGAGTTCACGAACGGAAGCAAAATTTTGCCAAACTTCCTGTTTGCGAACCGAATTGTCCGTGAACAGGAGCGTTTGTCAACCAAGGTACCACTGTATGTGTAGTTTTGTCACAGCAAGGAGCAATTGTTTCAGCACAGAGAACTCGTGAGAATAGAGACTTTTGTTGCATATGAATTCATTCCAGGTGGTGCACGTGGACATCAGACTCTAAAGGGAAATTAGATGCAGCCACAGGAGAGCCTCATTTTCATTAGAATAGCAGCTGGGGGGAGGGGGTGGGTGGTAATTTAGTACTATATAAGCAGTCAAAGCTGTGACCCCGCTGGGGAGATTCACCTTTTCTATTTGTTCTAGTGACCTTTGTCACTGCGACAGAATGTGATACACTTTACACTTGTCTCCAGCATAGGAAGTGAGC